GTGGTAATACATGTTGTCGGAATACCCCAAAACAGCAATAGTGAGTGTTCTTTCAACATCTGTAATGATAGTGGGCCCCAACCACTCAATCCTTGAGGACGAACGCGACACAACTGAGAAAAATATATTCGACATTTAACGCGGGGAAAAACACAACGATAAAGGAATCGGGAGGAATAAATTCAATAAATTCAAATTTCTCGAATAGCATGGCTCGGCCTTGTAGGCGTGATCATTCTTGAGTAGCCTATACCTTTTATTCATTTTAAATATACTGTTCTAGCTCCGGCCTAAATATGTTCATCATATATTGACGACTGTTATGATACGATGAGTCAGGGTAGACGGTGATGTGACTTCCACATAAAACCTTATAGATTAGGGAGTTACATCACTACAAATCTACAGTTTTAGGATTAAGTCCATTATCAGAGCGGTACTAATAACGAAGTAGACCATAATTTTACCAGGTCACCAAGTGAGAAACTCTACTCCACACATAAACATTTGTTTATCTTTACAAAAGGAGTGGTGGCATTTTCCCCTGCCAAGTGAGTCTTTTGGTTATGATTGTGTCCTAAGGTGTAAAAGCTTCGCCTATAATTAGTTAAGTTGATTTTTCAGTGAAGGTCTCAGCCTTTTGTTTTCAGTACCTCTCACTTTAAAAGTTTGAGAAACACTTCAAGAAATTAGTTTTGACTTTTTCAACATCCAAAGAGTAACTTCCTGTTGTTCTTTCCGTGACCTCGCCTAGCAATTTTAAAGGCACAAAGCAAACATCGTTATGGCAGATTTACGTTTTTCCGATTGATGGTGGAATTCAATGTGACTACTGCAACGAGTGATATAAAAACATGTGCACCACACTTACATCAACCACATATAAATGTTGTTTCAAGGCACTACCACTTTGGCTGTGTATGTGTGCTGCTTTACAAAGCCTCTGATGACTCTTCAGCTGCTAACCACAGCTAGAACGACTAGCTCCGATAAACAGCCAACAGCAGATTAGCAGCTGTCAGACTTCAAGGAAGCAGAGAGAGATGCCATGAATCTAGATACGAATCTGAGTGAAACCATTAAGTTGAACCACTTCAGGTCAGTAGGAGTGATTATAAGGAAAAGGAAATAATACGCAATAGTCAAGTCGCAATGATCTCGACAGTTTCAGTTACATATATCTTTAACAACGCAAACCGGACCATACAAGAAAGAAGCCGAGTCATTGCAGAGGATTTGGTCAGGAAACAAAACAAAGTCAGTGACTTGCTTACGGTAGAAACAAGAAAATTAAGGGGAAAAAGGTAGCAACCTATATGGCTGTTGCTAAATCAGACTGCAAGAATGGTAAACGTTTAAGACAAAAAACCCAATGCTTGTTCAAGAGGATCATGCAGAGATATTGGTCAACTTTCGCAAGAGTCTTTCAAAAAAGAAAAAAATGTTAGGTCTAGGTACAATCCAAGCAGGAACAGTAGCAGAAGATAAAAAATGGATTTCGAAATACGCAGGCCAGCCGCCTCCTAAAAGTTGCTTCTACTTCTGCCGATGAAATTAACGTTGTGTTGGAAAATTCATTCAAACTGACTGGATCCGGGACGTATGTCTATGTGGATCTCGGCTTTGTGATAGGCATAGAAAACCCTGAAGTTACTGTCATCTAAGATAATCAGTTAACGTCAGAAGTATGTGATGGTAAGATTCAGTTGCTTGGTTTCTTGCTTTGAAAGGCTGGCAGACCAAACAGGGAGGGTGGTGGGGTTTTCGTGTACATGACTAACACCTTAACCATATGAGCTGTCGATACAGTAGCACACGACTCCGGGAAATGTGAACCGTTGTCCCGACGGCTACAATGTAGAGGACAATATGTTGAATTAGTTGCAGTATATCACAGTCAAGAATGTGTAGTGGGTGACTTCCTCCTAAATAAATTTAAATCCTGGTCAAACAGGCATAAAAGTTCGACAGCATATGTTTTATTGACCCCTTGTAAATTAGGGAACCTTAGAAGTGGGGTCATCAAAAACATCGTTCGATTACAAATTGTCAGATATCACAGTCGCCCTAGCTCTATTCCAGAAAGTTAGAGATCCCACCAGATATGACATATAAAACTCTTCATCTCTTTGAACTTCGTCCTCACACTGAGTGGTGATGCTAATTCTATTATGTTCCTCTCACCTGTAGGGAGAATCCATCATGCTGTCGTCTTATTCAAATTCATGGCTGAAGTGGTCTGTCAGACAGTTGCGCCAGCCCTTCCTAATGTATGGAAGGCAGACATATAGGCGATCAACTCTGTAGCATCGAACGAAAACTGGAAAATCGACTTTGAAGCATCAGTAGAGGAGGATTAGACTCACTCCCAGGAGTTATACAATCAAGGAACCCAACTATTTATACAGTGCCGAGGAAGAAAACGCACGACTAGCCCGGAATAAACCTGAATATTTGACGTTTCTTAAGACAAAAGAAAAAACATTTGGCACGTCGCCATCAACCTTGGCACACCGAATACGATGAAACGCTATAGGTCGATCTAAAACAAGAGTATAGGCACCTCACGGGCAGCTCAGTCAAAATCTGAAATGCAGTTACTCCAATTAATAATCAGACAGCCAGAGAGACTGTTCTCGTATATAAATTACGGAACAAAAAGGCATCATTGGATTCCCAACTCAATTACTGAAGAGCATTTATCTCAAGTGACAGAGGAAGACCAAGACAGAGCAGACCCCTTGAAACTATTTTGGGACAGTTTCCACTCAAAAGCCTCTTGTTAACGAAGAACTAGAACCAGATACAAATTCACGAAGCTCTAAGAGTTTTTAACACTTAAGACTCCGAAAAATAAACAGGGCCGGATGAACCACAGCCAAAAGACCTGAGATTAATTTCGCAATATACTTCTGCCCCTCTAATTACCATATTTAATAAGTCAATTGACCAAGGTGATTTACCTAAGGGTTTGGGGAATAAGACCCTCACTCCAATACATAAAACAGAATCAAGACGACTCCCATCAATCTGCAGACCAGTCAGCCTTGTCAGCGTTGTAGTTAAAATACTGGAAGTAATAATCAAGAGGGTTATAATCACACTCGTAAAAACGGACGACTAGTGAAACAGAGAACAGTATGGTTTCAAGAAAGGATAATTTTGCACAACAAACCCCATACGACAAGAAAGAAATGGACACAATTTCTAGTTAGTGGGAAATCGGTCGACGTTGTCTACGTTGACTTCGGTAAATTATTTAATAAAATACTGAGAAAAAGATTGTTCATATAGCTGGAAAGTCTAGAAGTTGCTAGGCGTCATGTAAAGTGGATAAGAATTTCTTTGTAGACTGCAGACGGAAGGACAGAATGAATTCCAAGTGCTCTTTCCGGAAACTGGTACTTAATGGAGGACCACGAGGCCCTGTCCTAGGTCCTTCACCTCTTTTCTGTATGTAAATGAACTTTTAAATATAACTGTCTTCAATGCCACTATACACTAATGGTGTTAAAATCTGGCGAGAAACAACGGGAGACGTAGATTCATGTGCGCTACAGGTGGATCTAGATATTTCTGCGATCTGGTCCACAAAATGGCAGATGCCTATCAAAGCGACTAATCCTACATTAACTTTGGAGATATACATAAATAAACACAGCATAATAGGAGAGTCGATGCCTGCAGTTTTGTTTCGCAAGAAGCTTGAGGTGATAGTCAGGAATGATCTTAGGACAGCAGTCCACTGCCTCGAGGTCACAACCATAGGTTTATAACCATATGGGCTTTAAGGCGGACACTTATCAAGCTAGGCATTAATATATTTACTACAATTGATACGATCTTAATGAGGTCCAATCTTGGAAACTGCTTCCAAGCCTCAAAACCCTTTTTAAGCGGTGATCCATACATCTTGGAAAAAGTACAAATTGTTGTCACCTGGGTTATCCCAGAACTTTGGGGTTTACCGAGAAAAGAGCGGCTTCAGAAGATAGACCTCTTCGCCATGTCCTTACGCAGGCTAAGAGGTTATTCGAATTCGATGTATAGAATACTTAGTGATACAGGATACACAAGATATAAGGTACATAATATATAAGACACACAAATTGGTCTCTGTTTCAACACTAAGAGGAAATATTCCTGCACTGTGGAGAGACAGTACTACGATGTAAGGATGATAGCTTAGAACTCCGAAATGACCTGAAGAAATTATTCAAATGGTCTTAAACCTAGCAGCTGTCGATAAATACTTTCAAGTGTGTTGTGATGCATATCGGTCATCAAGGTACAGATGCATACGCGATGAATAACACTGAGCTACCTGTCGTCCAGACACATAATGACTTAAAAGTCATCGCCAGCCAAGACTTAAAGACTACCGCACACTGCCGTGCAATATCCGCCAAAGGTTTTAGAATCTTATGGTCAATACGTAGGGCTTTTATTCATGCAGACGCTAAAACGTTTTTGAGTTTGTATACAGGGTTCGTACGTCATAAACTTGAGTACTGCATACGAGCGGCTAGCCCCTGCTGAAAAAGACAGTGTGCTTCTGGAAAAGGTTCAGAGAACAGATACTAAGCGGATTCTCTGAATAGCGAAGCTTCCGTATGATGCTTGAGTGGCCAAGCTGAACCTTTTCTCGATGTCATATCGAAGAACTAGAGGCGGCTTGATTACAGTTTTCAAATTTCTCAGTGATAAATTTGCACCTGATATCCCATAACTTTTCTTGTCTTCCAGAACAGAGAATTTACGAGGACACTCAGTTAAAGTTCACAAGCCCAGAACAAATTACTTTTCAGCTGATTGTCGACTTTCCCATCGAATCATCAACGAGTGGAATTCATTGCCTCAGCACGTGATTGAGGCTCCATCCGTCGACTTTTTCAAAACAAAGTTGGATCAAATGAGAGTCCAGGACTAACACAGGCCATCAAGTCTCCTGTCCCTCCCAAAATGAAGCTGAAACTAAGATTCCAGTCGCGGGCATTACAATGTTGTCGTTACTACGGTTAGCACGGTGTTCGTTTAGTAGTGGCTTCGTAACGTCATTATCACGATCCCTTAGTGGTCAACCGAAGAAATGGTACTTAGTTTTTTCATTCGCATTGTGATTAAGATGAAGCGTGAATATCACATTCTCTTGGAAGAATGGTCGTAATAAGACCGTATACGCCAAAATAGGCGATAACTTATTGGACGTTGTGTTAGATAATGATGTTGATATTGACGGGTTCGGTATGTTGCCTTACATATATAATCACGTATCTAGGCGCTTGTGAAGGTACATTAGCGTGCTCAACCTGTCACCTCATATTTGCCAAGGAAGATTTCGATAATCTGCGTGATCCCTTAACGGAAGAAGAACAGGATATGCTAGATTTAGCTTATGGCTTGACTGACACGTAGGTTTCCCATTGTTATGGCACACGTAGAACTGCAATGTTCATAAATATAATTTTTTGTCCTATCCAAAATGTGCTCAAGATAATCAAATGTTGGTGTGAGACTAATTTATGGACGACCTTTGGGCAATGCTAAAGTAACCTTAAGAGTGTTTACCTAATGACCAGGACTAGATGATGGATATGAACAGGTGTGAGGAGTTAGAGTTAGGATATACAGTTGATGGTTAATGTTCCCGAGCTCCCAATTTTGGGGAAGCCGCTACGTCAAACTTTGAGTAAATGGCACCATTTATTTATTTATCTAAATGGCACCAAAACCCCAAAATTTCCCCAGACCTGGGGAAATTTCCACAAACTTAAGAGATTGGGTTAGGAATTAGATTTAGGGTCTTCATCACAAACGTACATCAGCTATAATGCTAAAACACCATTTAGTCAAATGGATGAAAGAATTTTACGCCAAAATCCAAGACCTGTTTGTATATGATTGGTTCGTCTATAAATTGTAGTCTTACTGATACTGACCTAATATATTCAAAAAGATTATTGAGTATACAATTTTAAGTTATCTCAATACAATTTTTCGGTATTAGATTAGTGTTTCTGCATAATGACAGTATTCCTAACTGGCTTCGTGGAGCATGTCAGTTTAATTCAAGCTTAGTGGAAAAATGAAAAGCAGTTTAAGATTACTTCCATCGGAGTGTGGTTGAAGAATTGTGAAACATGTGGGTACCCAAATACTTTGTCACGAATTCGAACTTTGCTAAATTCGTCGAGTGTCATGCAAATCACTTGCTAGCTTCCTACACATTTGGTCTTTTTTTCAGATCACGATTAGGTTGTCAGGTCAAAGTCAATGAGGACATGGATGGTATAGTTGTGAACGTTCCAGAGTCAATATACGATGCCCGTGCGTAGGATAGTGTAAGTTTTTGAGTATCATTGCCAGAGTTGAACTTCATAGTTTCAAATAAATTGAGCATTCGTTAGAACGTTGCTAATATAATCATAATTCATTGTTATATCTCAGTAATTGAAAGTTTAAATCTCTGACATTTCGTGATTTACTTTAAGCTATTTCTTCAGATTAAATGAATAAATAACCCATCCAAATTAACACAAGCTTAAATCGTAAAAAAAGAAATGTAGACATTTTAAACCTAGTCACCTTTTTGAATTATTGCGATATTTCTAATGTCGATTCGGTGGTTATTGGAAACAGCATGTACTAATATTGTTGATTTAGTTTGTAGATTTTCCAGCTCTGCAGAGTTATTAAACGGGCCTTTTATGTAGGTCGGGTGTTCCGTGGCATAAGTTTAAGTTTCTTGAGAAGGTTCTTCAATCGATACAACCTAATCAGTAGAAAACGTTTTGTGTGAATGTAAACGGTATCTTTTCCTTAATTAAAGCATTTTATAGAGTGTTGGCTGATTTATAGAAAGTTTTAACTGTGTGTATTCTCAAAATGAGTTGTAATTGTTTTGATGTACTGTGGCAGTAAGTTAAAACTACTGTACTAGTCCAGTATATTTCACTAGAATTCTTATTTAAAGATGGGTCGCTTCGTCTTGATATATTTTTAATCATATTCAGAAAATCGTTAAGTCTTAAAATGTTTACTGTGTCCTTTACCCTTAGCTTCTCTTGGTAGGTGGCTGATTTTCCTTCATTTTTTTGGAAAAATGGTGCCAAGTTTGCATTGTTTCCTTTGTTTCATATATAGATTGATATTCGTTCTTCAACGTCAAATTCTATCGGACTGCCCTTTAGAAGTTAGTCTTCGAAGCGCTTTTAGGAATGTGTAAAGTTGAATTATCTGAAGATTGCGTGTTAAACATCCACCGTACTTACCTGATATTTTGTCACATATACACTTGTTGTAACTGTTTAGGTAGTTTTCGGGTTGCATTTTATCGCTATTATTATTTATTTTCCTATCTACAGTCTATTTGTAATTAGTGTTTCATTATTCAACTGTTTAAGACATTTTTTTGTATAGAAAACTTAATAATAAATAAACCTTTATAGACAGGGATTTCTGACTTTTTTTTCTTCCTTTTTGGTTGTATATATTGCTACGTTTTTGTTATTCATCTAATTGTCAGTGAATTTGTTCTTACCACGTTGTCATAAAATTTGCCTAGTGCTACATACGGCAACAGCACGTTAGTGGTTGTCGAACAGAACTTTGCTGAGGAAATATCCTGAATCATGACAGTGGAGTATTTCCTGATATATAGATAAGATCCAAGTATGCATAGTCGTTTGCCGTAACGTAGGTTATACCGTGAGTTACAAAGTGTTTCAGTTGTCGGGAGTTTTTTCGAGTTCGGTAAACAAATGTAGGTTTGTTTAATTGAATGAGTAGAATGCCGTCCAACAAATGAAGTGTATCGATAAGATACGGTCGACATTCCAAATTCACAAACCTAATAACTAGGAATGTTTTCACGTTACTCCCAATAAATGAACAGGAAAGCGATAAACTGCAACTAGTTGATTTATCACATAAACCTTTTGCCATATGATTAATATGTGATGACATTTCGAAGAGATTAAAACTCATAAAATAATTACCTACAAAAATTCTGGAAGAATATTCAGAATGGTTATATGAACTGGTTGTTGAGAAAAGTAAATTCAATTAAAGTATGGAGTTAGGTTTTAGTCGTCATCCATTGAAATGCATTAAAAAGAACACCGCTGTTGAGATCTGCCAGCTTGCTTTTCAGCAGTAAATTTTGTTGGTTGTCCACACGTCCCATCATATCTATTTTGACAGTCTCGTCCCTTGACCTAATTTTCGGTCTCATTTATTCATGATCTTTCTGGTTGGTTGACAAGTTAGATTTATTTCATCAATATAATTATTGGCTGTTTATTGACCTTATTATCAAGCTTCTAAGAATTATCTGGGTTTTGTGTTTAGGACTTCAACATTTTCCGACAAGCGTATACATTATAGTATCATTGTGTCACTTACAAACCATCGACCTTACCGCATTTAGTTTATCTGTCTTATGGGAAAATGGAATGTACGTGATACCAAATACAGATTTTCAACAAAGCCTTACCTAGCATATAGTTTTTACGTGTATAAACAACATTGGTTTGAAGTTTTTGTCTGCTGATTAAGGCTATCTGTTTATCGTCGTTATAACGGATTAACTTAAGTTATAGACAATTAATATTACGTTAGAACAATGAGAAGATGGAGTTGATCTGAAAAATGTGATGTATTTAAGCCAATTCAAACAATTTGGTCACACGTACACTTGTTGGAGTATTTTTTATGAAAATTAATAAAGGTCAATTAAATGAAAGTTTAAGTAACAAAGAGGCGAGAAACAATTTCACATCATATAGAAAGAATAAGAAATTGTCGCGTTATCCTAGGCCATAGAACGACTATAGCGCAAATACATTGCATTTTTCAGATCAACTCCGTCTTCTCATTGTTCTATCGAAATTTATAAAAGGAACTTATTCCTTTAAATTAATATTACGTTATTATTTCATATTCCGAACTTTTCGAGTTCTAAAGATTATGTAAAACATTTGTTACCGTATTTTTTGCCCTAAAGTGTAGTACTTTAATTAAATAAATAGCATGAAGTAAAATTATTGCAATCATTTAGAAAATGACAAGGTTGGTAAACCTCGTTAACCACTGTCATCAATCCAGTGGGGTGTTCTAGAAGAGTCTTTCAAGGTTCTACAACTCAAGAATAGTATTCATGTTCAAACAGTCCTAGACATTCCCAGGCGATAACCATTCGTAATGGTATCTTATCACCCGGTTGAAGAATTCACCCGACGCATGAATAAAACTTTATGTGCTCCTCACAAATTAGCTTCTTTACCACTCTTATAATATAGTGCCATGATTTTAGAAACATTCGCTAATGAATATACGGTCTGGTGATGAACATATCCAATACCTTGTTTGGATAATGCAATGTTTTTTAACCAGTCTTCCTTAATCTTTAAAAACAGACATCAGGTCGTTCAAACCAGAATACGATACCGTCCGTGGTTAGGCATCTTCGGTTTAGTATACTTTCAGTGGCTCGAGCTTTAAAAGGCTACTGATAAATTGTTTATAGATAGGATATCACCCACACATTATTTTGATGAATCCTTGATTCTTTCTATGAAGGGCTGGAATAGATAACAATACTTCCCCATAGATATGCCGCTTGGACTAATATAGTACATCACAACTCTATTTTTTGCCTTAGCAGTCTGTCCAAAACGATCAACAGTTCGTAAAGTTGCTGAAAACCATTACTTGTAATCCAAGCGTTTTGTTAAGGTATTAGCGAATTTACTCGGCGTTTTAAATGGGATCAATCCTTTACGGTTTTCAGTGAGTCAGGTGACAGTTAATTCCAAGTTCGGGTGAGCTTGAAGATCATTGACCACACTGTGTGGATGAAAGGATTCTTCAACCTTTAAAAAAACGAAAGCGAATCTCCTGACTATTAAGAACGGATCGGATTCTAAACAGTTCTGTGAATATCTACTTCATTTGTAGCTGATCTCAACATAACCTTTGGTCTAGACTACGTTTACAACGAGATTACGTAAGGTATCATACTGATTTATCGAATGACTAAATGTTATAAATCTCCTTAGTTTCGATTTAGCTCCTGCAGAAAACCAAAACGAAATATTTGGGCTCATATGTTTTTTTTTCTATTCCAAACAGATTTTGAATGTAACATAATTGATTACTTAGACCTAGACTATTATGTTGGATTAATATTCTTGACAAAATTCCATTATTTGTAGACTGATATAAAGTTGCACAAGTCTGCCAAATCAATCCTTACGAAACCTCTTAAATCAGAAAATCCAGAAGATTTTAAACAAAAACGAAAGAATAAAAATCTTTCCAAATTAAAAAAATATAAAAAACGTCAGTTGAAAAAGAAACATTCAAGTAAACAAATAACAAATGAACGGAAAATAATAAAAACATTCAATGAAATACAAGAAGAGGCTTTAAACTATCTAAGAATATGGCATGAAGATTATGAAAACTGGAAATTTAAAAAACTTCTACAATCCTGGTTAATAAAAAATGCACTAAATAGAAAAATGGTGAGTTGATTTATGCTTAGTGTGTGTGTAGCAGTAGCAGGCGATAATGGCAAACAAAAAATACCCCATTTTCTTCTCAGGTATACCTGTGTTTCATTTATCTGTGAAATACATCTCAGATTGTGACTTTCATTTAGTAGATTTTAGGTCAGAGGAGTAGCTTCAATTTTTCCACGTGAGACCTCCCATGGCCGAAGGTGTATTTTAAATGTTGCTGCTCGTCATGAATTCATAAAATATTGTAAATGTATGCGGCTTAGTAATATCGTGTGCTGATTACCTTACTATTATTGTGTTCATCTCTCTATCAGTATGGTAATTGTGATAAATAGTAGGTTATCCTCAAGTTCTTCAATCTAAATTTAGTGCTGAATTATAGTATGCATAAAATCAGCGTAAATATTGAGCGATTCAAGTGTTAGTCATTTCTAGGAACTTCAAAGTAAAACTGTGTCTAAATAATAGATTCTGGAAAATATGACACATCAATCATGTTAAATTCATTTTTCGACATTAACCGATTGTTAAATCATTTTGAGTTCTATAAACACTTTCAATTTTGTTGATAAATTTTCTATTCACTATTGTTTCCTATCAAATAATGCAAATTAAACAGGTTCCCAGTTCGGAGTTCCGAATATTTAAACAGTATATTAAAGGACTAGTTGGATGTGCTCGACAGAATTTATTAAATCAATGCTCAAAGATAATGGAGGAACAAACTGATGGGTTGGAGACATGTACAGAACTTGTAAGTAGAGGAGATATGTCACCGGACAATATTATTGGTCAGCAGAAGTCAGGTATGTTCCGTCGATAATAAATCCAAAGATTATCTAATATTACTATGCATACATATGGTGAGAAATCTTAGGTTGATGCACATTAGTGTTGGGTTCTACATCGTTCATGATTAATTCATACATAGCGTTGGTGGTCCATTAGTTTAGTATCATGCATTTTTAAAATTCAAATTGTCAGTTATGATACCGAATTCTTAAAGTGTGGACATGAACTAAAATGAAAAATGGCAGTGGAACTGTGAGATAGTTAAGTACTAATGATTTTCTTCAAATAGTTTATGTATCTTTGCTCTTATATTCAGAATAAATGATTTGAAAACCGTCTGTAAGGTGCAAATATAACTTGCATAACGCACAATTCTACGCTAAGCTCAGACAAGTGGTTTGTAACTTGAATAATCGTCCACATATTTTCAGATAATGAAAACCACTCTATGCCATTCATGTTCCTTATTGAAGACTCAGTAAGTGTAGTGTGAATTTTTTACCAAGTACGGCCTAACATATTGGGCTTTGAAACCCACCTTGTGGAAGTACTACTGATACTTAGTCATAGATTATTTTAGTATACTATGAGATGAATTTCACCTAGTTTAATGAATTAAAGCTAAATAATAAGATGCCAAAAATAATTTAACCTCATACTTGCACATTTCCATAAATGCTAAATGTAATATTTGACTAAATAGGTTGTTCACTAACCTGGCTGTATTGTTTTTTTTCTCTTTACAGAATATTCAACTGCTAGAAAACGTGCAAAGAAAATATTTGCAGTTTTATCAAAGACTTCTGATGTTCAATAAATTTTTACATAATACTAAGATTTTTAGTGTTATTAAATCCTTTGTATGCATTAACTACTATCGTATACTTCGAAATTATTCATAACATGATGTTACTAAATAAATGTATAGTAGTTCATGACTCTATATACATGTAGGTGAAGCGGTGTCTCAGTAGTTCAAGCGTCCGAACTTTAGCCACTAAGTTGCATGTTTGAAATTCGCTCCACCTATTTCGGCTTAGGCAACCGACTTGTATCACTATTTCTCACGCTTAAAATGCATCCAAAAGCAAAGTCTACAGATTCTCATCTGGTTGATGAGTTAATAATGTGATATCTTGTACAACTATGAAGTACGATGAAAACAAACAAGTAGTTTGGTACGTTTTACAACTCTTAGTAATATGTATTGCTGAAATATGGAGCCAAGTTCTGATTGTGTCAACCTGTTTATCTTTCAAAATCCCCATTCTCTATCAAAGTAAAACTGATTTAAGATGTGACATATCGCATTAAAACAAATTACTACAACGGAGGCACATCTTTCCCTGTGAATAGTATAAAATAAATCTAAACAGGGTTGTTCAATAAACGAAGATTCACTTGGCGCTTTCATATGGCTAATGTAAATCAAGATCATAAATAATCTCTATACCAAGAAACAGTTAGTACTTGTTAAACAACAAAGTGATTTCCATAAATTATAATAGATTTACAAAAGTTTATATCTATGTTTGAAAATGCTAGAAATTTGTAAACAATCATGAAACCACACAATTTGTCGTTTGGATTGCTACTGGAAATCATTGTCCCCAGCTTTTTTAAACTTTATCTTAGTGTTTTTCACCGAACTACTACTTTTATTGATAAGTATAAAATGGAAGCGAATGTACAATGGCAAAAGGTACTTTTTTACAAGGTCTTTGTACAAATCATCGTTGACTCCTCCTCATGAGTACATTTCTTCTGCTTCTAGCCATACGCGCTTTGATTCGTTCACGTGAAATTTCTGCTCCTTCTTTAGCTAGGTTTCGTAGACGATCATTTTCTTGTACTTGTGGTGCTTTTCCTTTCAATCGAAGGTAACGTACTAGATACCTGGTTAATATGAGTGTCAAACCGTAGCGTAATGGTACTGCCAGTTTGTAGAATACAATGGCTGTAGCCAGAGTATTCACAGTACCTCCACCTAAATGGAGGGGTTTACTTAGCCATCCAGGTGCGTTGAGACTGTGAAGAATATCCAGCAAATTGATCCCACTGTAAGCAAAACAGTGCAAAAAGAAGATTTTTTATCAGTAATATCAATCCAACTAACTAAATAAAAGGTTTAGTACTTGTATTTGGGACGTATTTACGTCCACTACGGGATTCGAATCGACAACTGCATCTCTGTGCTAATGTGGTATGGCAACTCGAACTGATGTGCGTACGCACGTACGAAGTTCTACGTTGTTACTGACTATTTACGTAAAGTTTACAGGTGTCATTCAGTTACATAAACCAAAATATATTAAGTGAAATCTGAACAAGTGACGCATTGATATTTGCATCTCAGTTATCGTTATCTTTAGGTCTTAAACTAGCATTGTAGTCTGTAACAAACAGTTCTAAATGGCTTTTGAAATCCAATAAATTTTGGGTTGGTTGGTATGGCCATTCTTTAATACCTGACAGAGTGGATGTTGTCGATCAAGTCGTAATATGACTTTCAGCCTTTTCTAACTCATGTTGAAGGATGGGTGATGATTTTGCCTTTACAAATGTGCTTTGAACTTTTAAAATGTGTGCAACTCTCATAAGACCTAAATAAGTAACTATCAGGATCATCATATTAGGTGCATAAAACACGGATGTGAATAAGTGATATAAATGTAAAAATACAAATCGAGGAACTTGAAGCTTTAAAAGTCTATAGTTAGATCAAGTACATCACATGAATTTCGCAGCACTACTTTACAAAGAAGGAACCTGGGGGTGAACACCCAGTTGACGGATACTAACTTGACGTGGTGGTTAAATCTGTATACTAAGGAGTCCCACAGATTGGAGCGCTTATCACTAGCTTAAGTTCTCCCACTCGAGACGTTTCTTAAAAGTAATAAGAAGTTTGTAAATAAAAGTAATATATTTGTAATATTCCAATGAGTAGAAAAATTAAATTCTCGAACGTTTCGTAACTCAGTGTAAGCCACTTGTTCAGAGAATAAATAACCGAATTTGTCATTTGCACCAGTCAAAATATCATCTTTTATGGAATATAGAAGTGCTTCTCATCCATATGCCTACCAAACAAACAAATACTCTTTTGTTCGTCGACGACCTTCCTCATTTTGTTCGTTTTATCTATACATCTCAATGATGTTATCACAAATTTTACTTCTAACGATTACGACTTGAAATACCATTTCCAGTCTATCAATCCCATACTGCGAAATACACTGAGGCTTTAAACATCAAAACTGGTATATTTAGCCGTAGATGCATGTTATCTTGGAGACATACAAGATCTATGTTACGTTTATCAATTTAAACCTAATATATGTTTGCAATCTGCTTCATGGGATTCTAAGGTCTTATTGTTTGCTTCTTAGAAGCTAACGCAGTGAAAATACAGACGTACGGAATAGAAAATACTACATATAATTCATAATAATTAAATCTCGACTTGCAAAATGCATCTAATGGTTCGTGGAAAGAAAGGTATAAAGCAATTTTAATCTCATGGTTTAAAGGAAGATAAAGAGTGTATACACCTACGCCATTGTAATCGATTCTGAGCTACGTCGATCACAATTGTGTAGGTAGATACACTCTTTGTCTTCCTTTAAATCGTGAGATCAAAATTGCTTTATAACTTCCTTCCTATGAATTAATTCTTTCTTCCTGTATTGTATCCCGACCGAAGCTGCTACCTTGACGGGGTGGTCGGGCTTGCCTATCGTGATGACCCAACCGAGCTATATTGGCTGGAACATATGTTCCTGTAGGTTCTACCATGCCAGGCAGGTCGATTGGTGAACGGTAAGACTAAAAGCAGCAACTCAAGGTCTGAGGGCGAAGTCGTACTGCCGACTGTAGAGAGGTGTGACAGCAGTAAGGTGTTTCCCTCGGACAACCAGCATGACAGTGATGCTGCCTTCCCACAAGGAGGGGTGGGGTCAGAAAAGGTCGACCCTAAAAATGTCACATCTCACGGATTTCCGTCTCCGGCGGTAAGGCCCTTTGAAGAACGGAGCTAACACATTAAAAACCTTCCACAAAAGGGCCGTGCGCGACCGGCCTCAAGCAGTTATCCCTTGGGCTCTGCGGTCACGCTCCCAGGTCGTCAAGACCAACACTAGTCCAATTTCCTTTTCAGGTTCCTCAAGAAATATCCTTCCACGGTGTGGGCAGCCGGGAAGTGACATCAGCCCTCATACCCGTAACAGTACACGAGACCAAGTTGGTCACATTCAAATCCTTCCCACACCTAATACCTCTCTTATCTCCATGACTAACCCTCCTCACGTCTCTTTATCACCTCGCACCGCTAGGGCAAACGATTCGAGTACGTGGAACGCTATTCCTGGTCTCCTGAAATCACGCTCTAAACTGCACGTAGGAGTCTGTTTATACTCTTGCTACCTCTACCACTACGGGATTTGGATCGACAACTGCATCTCTGTGCTAAGGTGGTGTGGCAACTCGAACTGATGTACGTACGTACAAAGTTCTACGTTGTTACTGGCTGGCTCCTGTATTGTATCCTTATACGCATTCCTTCTATATATTACCACTAAAGTAACTACTATGATTTTGGTGATCGTCTTGTTGTGCTAATGAGGTATGGCAACTTGGACCGATGCATATATGTGTCTATTCCTACACTGTAGCTGACTGACTGATCTAATGGTTTCGTCTTACAAAATAATTGAGTTATGATGAAAGACAGGAACGCGATGGAAAGTTTGCACCACGGAAAAATAAATGGATTAAGTTGTAAACTTACACCGACTGAGTCAACTGAAGCACCTTTTCGTGCACAATTTTAACTGACTTACGATTAAAATAGACAAAAGTGGAGTAGTTAAATGATTTTCCATACTAGTTAGCTACAAAAACCAGTTACGAATCCACATCTCGTATTTGGAGGGAATCGCATCCCGAACATGTTTGTATTGTTGCTTAAAGTAGTTAGAAGGCTAAATTTTGTCAATAGAGTAAACCCTTTAGTGTTTCAGTGCAAATCTCAAGTGTTCATTTATCTGTGGTTTAAAACGACTGGTGATCAATACAAGTCGAAGATATGTTTCTCATATCTAAGTAAAATTAGACGGTCACTCTCAAATAAGTAAGCATTAAATGTACCAGTTTCCCATGTTTGTACATATTGTTTCTCACATCATATTACGGATTTGATAGATGATGATTACGAACCACTCAATTTTGATACTTTCAAGGGCTTTGTGTAGTGTTATCTGTATCTGGAAAAGAATTCAATTTCGAAATTTACCCAATAATCCTCAACTCACTTTGACGAAAAAAATCGGAACACTGAGTGTGAAAACTGACCTCACGCAACGTTTCCAACCTACTACCTTCAATGAGCAAAGTTTCATGAATGACAGTTGATACATAAAGGAAATTGACTAAAGACTATTCAACATAAAACAGATGGAAAAGTCAAGTAATCCTACATCTACAACTGATGCCACAAAACTTTAGGCGTCCACAGCATTCTTGGTTTTTAGGCACGTGCGTTATCCTTAATATAGAGTAAACTTGTCAATCTATGTACTAATAAGTTATAATATTTCAGACAGACATGTAGATAAGGCGTACTAGTAGATAAACCATATCAGTCAATTGACTTTAAAGAAACGGAGCTTTATAAATTCTGAAAATTGCACCAAATGATGAGCAGCTCTATGACTCAACATAATTTATACTAGTTGCGGGTTGATAGAGATACTACTATTATTAGATGTATAACAAGGAAAAAAAGAAAGATCTTACGTGCAAGCCAGTGAATAAAACATTCCAAACCACAAACATGACGTCACACCATGAGTTACCAAGACAACTTTCCCGTAAATTGCATAGGCATCCTTGAATCTTTTGATCAGACTAGATTTCCTTTCGTCCAAGTCATTTCCATTTTTTTCGTTCATATTTGATGGGACATTGTTCTTTGATTCAGTAGAAAACTGTGAAAAATTTTTCAAGCCGAAAGAAATGTTAGGATAGTTGAGAGGGCGTGAATCTTTTGAGAATAGAGAATAATGTATCTGGTCGCAACAAACAGAAGGAAATTTCGAATCATTTCCACAGATAGGCGTTGATGCAGTTCGATGAGTACGAAAATTTGCAAATATAGAATGATTTGATGCGACATAGTGTCGTAAACCGAAGATTAAGGTTTTATTCATGATATTCGGGCACTAATTACTACATATATCTGCTAATACATGACGGATAGTGTTTCCATCAAGGTCATTGTTGATTTTTGAATTCATTCGCTTCAGCATACAATATCTACGACTCAGTCAAATGGTTCAAATGGTTGTGGATGGAATAGAAGCTTTTGCTTAACAGGCTTTCGCGTCTAGTAGCAATGGATCACTAATATCTACAGACAGGAACCTATGTATATTATTGATAATAGAGGGAAAAGAAATTGGTAAATTATTGTAAGATATTATCCTTAGTCCTTAAGAATAGGTCAAAATGCCTCTTAAAAGAACTCCTGGAAAGTTCAGTCGGCAGAGTACTCCAGCATTTGACAACTCTTAGGGAGTAGAAGTTGTGTCCACAGTCCATTCCGCCATGTTGTGTCTCCAGTTTCTGGGTGTTACTCCTTAGGTTTGTGTTGGGGCTCAACTTGAGTAGGTGTTCAAGGGGATGTCCATAATTGTTAAGGGTACTGTAGGCCATTACGAGCTTCTTGAGTTGTAACTGTAGTCTGCAACATTTTCCATATTGACTACTTTACACTTTCAAGTGTTCAAGTTTAGTCCGTTGTCACCTGTCGAAATTTGATGTCGAGTCGGATCCTCCTGAAGTGCCTGTATATTCTTTTAGTTGCGTATCTCTCTCTTCAAAGTTTCACATCATCAGCCAAAAGCAATTAGTCAGACGATACCTGTCATGAAAGATCGTTTATATAAATCAAGAAGAGAAGAGATCCTAGTACTGAGCCCTGGGCGACCCCATTAGGACATTCCACAGCCTGAGATAAAGTGAACTTAACCCTCACCTTAAAATGTCGATTTGTTAAACATGAAGTGAACCAATCAATTAGAGGTGATTTGATACTCAACCGTTTGAGCTTATTGATAAGACCCATATTGCTGACCCTGTCAAAAGCTTTCCAGAAGTCAAGGTAAATGGCGTCAACCTTCCGCTTGTGATCAAGTATGGTTGTCCATCTGTCCACCGCAGTCAGCAGGTCGATTATACAAGAATATCCCTTCCTGAAACCATGCTGTTGAGGTAAGAAGAAATATAAGGACAGTAAATAGTCATGTATACCATCGCATATAAGGGACTCCATAATTTTTGAAGGTATAGAGAGTACAGCCACCGATCCGTAGCTTGAATTCTCTCTGCGTCGACCTCCTTTGAAAATCGGTGTAATGTGAGCCAGCTTCCAAAATTTCGGTGATACGCCTGGGCTTAGAGAATGTGAGAACATCACGCTAAGCAATGCTGTCAGGATTGAAGCTGCTTTCTTCAATATATCAGAACGAACCAAATTCGGGCCCGGAGATGTGTCTTTTCTTAGGTGCATCGTTTCCGGAACACCAAGTCAGCTCTCAGGTTCACTTCGGAAAGTCCTGGGCAGCTGCAGATGAAGATTTAATCAATACATTTAATGTGGGTCAGTTGAAATGTCCGAGGGCATTGTTCGGCTGGAAGGTTAGCGGCGTCACCGTCGTTGTCTGTCGAGCCACTGGGACCCAGCAGTTGGGATACTCCAGTTTTGGTTTGACGAATTGAAGCTGCATAACGGAATAAAGTTTACAGATTGGAGACAAATTTATCGATGAGCTTTATCTGTTGCTGTAGCCTCTCTTCTCTCACCGCTTTTGTGCATATTTTCGGTATACGTTTGTATTGCCTGTATGCGCCATTGTTATCAGTTCGTTCGCATTCTGCCCAACAGTATCTTTTGCGGCTTAGCAAATAAAGAGTGCGGTTCTTGATGATTGTAGGTTCCTTGTAGCTATTGGGGACCATTTGAGGGACTGACTGCTTTGTAGCACATAAGGCTGTATGCAATAAAAAATCCCACTGAGCGTCCACATCAGGTTGGGGGTGAACATCCCGATCCACCTGTTGTAGATAGTCCTGTAGAGCTGACACATTCAACCGTCTGAAATTCCAGCGCCCGTCGTTGATGGGGTATCTTAGCTCAGTTTTGCTGACAAAACTGAAGGCTATAACGGCGTGATCGCTTTTTCCCAGGGGAGCCAGGATTGAGAGATTGTCAACTAGGAATTATTCGTTTGTAGATACCCAGTCTAAGCGCGATGGCGTCTGACTGTTTCCCCAACGAATTGACGACTTCACATTTTCGTATAATCTCAGATCTTCAATGAAAATGAAGAACCGAGCTTTAGTTGAGTTTTCATCTCCAATATACGTATGTTCCGCGAAATTGACTTTAGGTAGATTGAAGTCCTCTAGAATCAGGATGTGAGTGGATCCGATTTGCGTGGAGCAGGATAATCCTTCCAGCATACAATTGTTGTACTCTATATAATCAATGAGCTTGCTGTAGATGACCCCAAATATACACCTCTGAGGAGTTAACAATCTTACTGAGCACCATACGGACTATTTAAAACTGATAAACTCTTGGTTGTGAACTTGGTGTATCTCCAGACATGATCGTATGAAGTGGCATGACCCTTAACCACACAATCATAAAAGTTGAACATGAGACAATTGGCGAAATGGATATTCAACATTTAATGCGGAGAAAAACCGGCAATGAGGAAGGCAGGAAGAATTAATTGAATTAGTTCGAATTGATCGGATGACATGGCTCGACCTTGCAGGTGTGGTCGTTAGTGAGTGTTAACATATACCTTTTATTCAAATTAAATATATGGTTCTTTCTCTAGCCTAAGTGTGTTCTTCATCATATACTGATTACTGTTGCAACGCGATGAGTTGATGTAGATAATAATGTAAGTTCCACGTAAGATCTTATAAGTCAGGCAGTTACATCATAACGAATCTACAACTCTAAGATTAAGTCTATTATTAGAGTGATACTAATATCATAGTAGACCATAATTCTACAATGATAAGCCCGACTAAGTGAACACAAACTATTATTGTTAATCCATATTTTCTCTTTAACTTTCTCGATTGATTTTTACTTATGTTAACCATTATTCTGTTAGTCTTCTGATTAATGCTTACATGTATTCTCGTAATGTTATATTGATTAATACTCATAACATACTATTTCAGTCGATACTAATTACCGGCCGTTTATGTTAATTAGGTTTGATGGTTAATCAACAAGCTTTAATAGCACTTACATGCTTCAGTTAAATAAACTTGTTAAAACATCAAGTTATAGCAAATATGACCTGTAAGTAACGTAAATATATATTGACTAGCGATGTAAGCAAAGACAGAGTAGTTATCTGAACCTAATTTTTTATATTCCTACTTCATTGAACGTTGCAATATGTTTTAACCGCGTGAACTTCTCCTTCCTGTTTGTCTGTATGAGCGTCATGTGCATGGACAGTTAGTCTACCCATAGAAGGTTTTCCGAGTTGATAGCCCCCGTCGACATTCGAAGGAGGGAGGGTGGAGTTATTGACCAGCAAGCATTGATGGTGAGGGCGATGACTTCAATCCACCCGTGTTTGTGGGGTACAGCATTTTGTATGTATGAGGCTCTTTATGATTGAGAATAAGTCAATCAATCTGTGATATAGATTGTCCTCCTACGCTCACCACTCAGACTCACGTTTCCAATTTTATGCTGGATTAGCTATTCTACTAAGACAACTTTTAACATGCTAACTCGGATTTTTACACTAGGATTGTGTGGCTGATATCGGATGGACAAAAAAGAAAAGAAAGAAAAAAATTAGACGACAAAAGATATAGTCACTAGAATTCTTAACACCTCACAATATACACACTCCCTTCTAATGAACTGCTTTTTTTGTACCAACCTTGACTTTCATTCCTACATTTGAGCTTACTCCAACTTGTTGAACGACACAACTCATTGTTCTTTATTGCTACATTCTCTAATATGGAGCCTCTGACTTCATTTCACTCTAACAAGAGATAATATGAATTTAATTTAATTTATTCTGTTCTACTACGCAATGTTTGGCAACGTTTGGCGTTCCTATCCAAGTGCTTTGCTACTCTTCTGTTTGTCTTTTTTTGTTCTTCAGAATCTTGCTCTGAAGGCACAGCTATGAAACTTCTGATGTCTGGAACAAACTTGACGTACGTGTCCCCTCAAGGTCATGGTTTACAGCAAGCGCCGTACGAGTTTTCTTTATAACAACTATACACTTAATAAGTTGGGAAGCATGTTGTGCACCTAGAAATGTTGTAATTCACAGATCATGCCTGCACATGCAGAAATATATATTATTATTATTATCTTCTTGTTTCCATTGCCTATCCTTGTTTGTCTACCTGTTCTATGACTGTATTTTTTCAAGTTTGCCGACAACTTATTATTGTATTGTTTCTCAGACCTGTCAACAGGACAATGATGTTACTCAGCAAAACTTCAGGATTCATGTCGCACGTGCCATATAACCGCCTATGATCCGACTTGCTGAGTCTGTTATAAGCAGTTGCTGTGTGATATGTGCACGCTTCATGGAATCCACCTTTGCAGTTGTCGCACTGCATGCCAGATGTAACAGTAAAACGGCATCCAGGTCGTCTGCATGAAATTCTTATGAAATATTGACGTAAAATGTTTTATAGATGCTAGCAAAGACTCAAGACCGTAAAAAGCAGCACACCAAAAACAGATAAAAACGGGTTATGATAAACCGAATCTAGCCGTTACGCAAAAAATGAAAAAATAACCGAATAGTAAGCTGAGGCAAAACCACAAGTATGGTAAAACGCGAAAAAGTAATCTACCAGAAGTATAGCTCAGAATAGATTCTTTACATCAGAAATGGCACTTTTGTTGCGCAAAGAACACAGTAAAGGTTTGAGAAATGCAAATCACGTTAGGACTAAATTCCTTTTTAAAAATCGCGCAATCAGGTCAATAGTGTAGAGAATCGGGAGCTGAATTTATCTGGTTGTAAGTCAGAACACTTCTCCGGTGATGCCCTGTGGGTCATTTTCGACAGTCATAATAGATGCTGTTGCGATTACGTTGAGAATTTAATTCAAAATACGAATAAGTAGCATT